CAGCGAAAATCCGTACGAGTTGAGTGACACACTCTTATTTTACACTTCTTATTTGTTATCTATCTCTACCTGACTTGTGTGGATTATAATTATTTCGCCCGCTCACTCGCCACTCGCGAGTCAATAGATAAGTTAATCATTGTCTCTGTCTGTCTCTCTCGCTCGTGGCTCAGTCGCCTCGCAAGCGACGCGTCGCGCGAAATGAGCAAAGTAATGTTTCATTGTTCCAGATCCAAATGATGCATTTGAAACGTAGTTACTGAACCAATCTTTTGTATCACTTCAGTGATTCGGATCAGTGAGTCAGTTCCGTAAAGAGATACACACGCCTAGTCTACCGAGATCGGCGCGACGTTTGATATCGTGACGTAGTTGGCTGTGTTGGCCACTAGCGGGTTTGGATGGGTTACGGCGCTATTAAAGTAGCGCTGAGACATTTCCTTGAAGTATTCGGAGGTAGAAGGAAGTTAACAAACACTGTGCAAACCTGAATTCCGGTGATACCACCGTGCTCTTGTGAAATTGTGGAATTAAAAAGTTTTGGACTTTCTTTATTTCGTATAGGTGGGAACTATACGTGTGGGGAAGGCTACACTTGCGTCAGACATGATAGGTCTTGTACAGGTTTTGTACCTTTCCGTTTTTGGCAACTCCACTTCTAAGCGCGTATTTTGAGTGTGGGCAGAAGTAATATGATTATTCGAGCTATGAAATCTTCCCGAAGAAATTCAACAGTCTTTTGATGTTGCAAGCAACTTCGGGGAGTGATCTCGGCGTATCAAGATGTTTAGTCCTATATGCAGTGACCTCCAGACAAGTCAGCAACATGTCGGCCGCCGTTTCTTCCTCCCCCATACATGCTCTGCACAGGGGACTATCTGTAACATATATTGTAAATAAATGTTTGTTAAGGGAGCCATGTCCTGTGATAGCACTTGTTACTATCCTGATCTGCGGGTCGTTCAGTCTCATTAGAGCCTTGGTTAAACGACTATTTATTTCAGGCAGGGCCTCCCTAGCTTGTCTACAGTCTACTAGATTTTTCCAAAGCTTAGCATGTTATTCAGTAAAGTTTCTACGTAACGGTGAACGAAAGTGTCCAAAAGGGATTGGAATGATTGGTTCCGGCCCTATAGTAGCCAGAGCCGATCCTCTTCTGGCCAGTTCGTCTGCTGCATCGTTGTCTCTGGATCCACTGTATCCCTTTATCCAATGCAGAGTTCAATCTCCATTGTTGTGTTTACATGCCTCATTTAATCGTTGATGGCATTCATATATTAGTCCCGAGTTCACCACATTGCAACTCAGAACTTGTAGTACCGCCATACTGTCGGCCAGTATTCTGATGGAGAAGTATTTTACCTTCCTAGCTTCTATTGTTATGACCACTTGAATAATACCCATACATTCCGACTGAAAGACTGTTTGTAACCAATTGTTGGTAACCAGTGGTGTACATATGTGGATATTAAAGTCTTCAGATAACGTTCCAGATCCTACACCTTCTATTGTTTTAGAACCATCGGTAAAAACTCTAAGCTCTTTTGGGCTTAATCCCTCCGGCTGGTTGGTTTCATTTAATTGTACCTTATACTTCTTATCGGATACAAATTGTTTGGGGATCTTATCGTACTTGACTTGTAAGATAGGAATTTTTGAGTAAATTCTATCAATTATACCTGTATGAGGGACTCTACACGTACTCCAAAGATTATTTTAGTTAGGGTCTTGAGTCTAATTGCAGCTAAAATCGCTTCTAATTGTATGTGCAGATGAAGCGGCAGCCATACAAGCCAGTCTCTGGTAACGCTGAAGCTTCTTTATGTTAACAAGAGGGTGGAGACGGCCTATGACTGACTTGGCTCTGTTGCGCACTAGTGCAACAGAGCCAAGTCAGTCATAGGCCGTCTAGTCACTGTGTAGTCACAGTGTAGTCACTTACATATGTGTTTTGCGAAAGTCATGCGGACGTCGAACGTGACGCCCAGATATTTGGCCTAATCTTCCCAAGAGATGGAGCGGCCGTATAAGGTAATTACATTTATTCTGGTTTTTGATCCACAATTTTTGTGGTGTGGTTTTGGACTCCGTTGAAAGTATATTGCTACACTTTTTTCGGGATTAACTTCAATTCTCCACTGGCGAAGCCATTCGCCCAGGCGATTGGTAGATTTTTAAAGTTTTAAAGTGAGAATATTCCTATTATAGTCTTATATAAAGAGGGCCGTGTCGTCGGCGAAGATAGCAGTGCTTACCACTGGATATCACTTGTGAAGAGTGTAAAGAGAAGTGGAGACAGAACGGAGCTTTGTGGGACCCCGCCTTTAGAAAATTCGAAGAACGGGTTCCCTCCCCTCGATAGTAAAAAGAGCGATTTGTAATGAAGGCTCGGATGATATGTACCAGCCTGTCGGGCACGTTTAGTTTATACAGCTTGTAGAGCAAGCCGTCGTACCAGATCTTAACAAATGCCTTTTCGACATCGAAGAAGAGGGCTCACGTGTTTCGAGATTTTTACTTTGTCGGGTAGAATTTAAGGCCAGACAGAATATATTCTGTTCAGCGATGATTTTTTTTATAGTAGAGGGGGCAAACGAGCATACGGCTCACCTGATGGTAAGTGACTACCGCCGCCCATGTACAACCGCAACACCAGGGGAATTGCAGATGCGTTGCCGGTCTTTTAAAAAGGAGTAGGCTCTTTTCTTGAAGGTCCCTAAGTCGTATCGGTAATTTGGTGAGTACACGAGTGTTCGGCTCTAAATCCAAATTGCTCGTCGGGGAGAAGTCTGTTAATTACAGTGAAGTGAAGGAGGCACTTTAAAATGAAGCACTCGTATTATTTACCCAATGTGTTGAGTAGACTGATGGGCATGTAGTTACAGCCTATATATGTCCTACCGCTAGGCACAGGCCTCCCCTCATTTCTGAAGGGGTTTTAGGGCAAGGAAATGTCCGCCGCGCTGCCCCAATGCGTGTTGGCGAACTTCACATGTTTGCGAGATATTTTTCTTATTTCTCAGACATGCAGGTTTCTTCACGATGGTTTCCTTTTCCGTTGCAAGTAACATTGCAATTAACAATTTCATTGATGCCAGCGAGGATCGAACCTGGGTTGCCCGCGTACTGTTAATTTTACAGTTAGCGCTAATCATCAGAGTTACCACGGCTCGATGGGCCTATAAGTGGTGGGTCAATTGCGCGGTTTCCCTGGTTTTGGGATCCCTATTATGTATGCATCTTTCCAGATACCGTAAAGAGTAGCTAGAGTAAAGCGCATTAAAAATTCCTACTAGGAGGTAAATTAGTGGTGCCGGAAGAGATTCGATCACGTTTTTGCTGATGTCGTCTGGCCCAGGGGATGGTCTATTCTCAAGGCTTTTTGTGGTTTCTGTGACTTCGTCAACAGTCACAGGATCGAGTGGTTCGCCCGCTGCTGGTAACGCATACGCATTCGACTACCGCTTCTACCTCTAGTATGTGAGCGGTATCTTTTGGTACGATGGATGGGGTATATTGTCTCTCTAGACTAATCCCCGTCATAACTGGCGTATTATTTTAATATCCTAATCTATCTCTATATATAAAACCAATTGCTGCCGGTTAGTCTCGCAAAAATTCCAAAGTAACTAGAAAAATTTTGTGTGTTTGAGTAGGTCGCTGGATGATTTAGATTCACAATTGGAGCCGGTAGGTGGAGCTGTTGTCGAGATCCAGAAATCACCCGTGCAAAAAAAAAGATTTTTAGGGTTCCGTATTTACACAATAAGGAACCGTTATAGTTTCGCCACGTCCACTCGTCCATCCGTCTGCGGTTTTACTCAGAGACCCTAGATGCTACAAATCTGTAATTTGGCATAGTTATAGATATTGATCACGCACAAAACTGTAAAATAAAATTTTAAAAAACATTTTTATTTTGGGTACCTCCCATACAAGTAAATGGGAGATGATCCCCTCCTCTATTCCATTGTGTGAGGTATCATTAGATATGTCTTACAAAAATGTAAAATCAACATCTTTTCGATTCAGGGGATCGTTTGCGAAATATTTAGATTTAAAGTACTATTTTTCATTAGAGTCATGTTTCCTCCCCCCCCCCCCCTTCCCCCTATACCAACTAAACTGCTGTTGGTATGTGGTATGTGCTGTGGAAATGTAAAAAGTATACACAATAGTAGTATATATAATGAAGTTAAAAGGTAAACTATCACACCTAAGTAAAATTAAGAAGTTAACTATGCTTTGCTAAAATATTTTTAACAAATGCTTTGGTTTAATGAATGTCGTCTAGTAAACAGAAAATCTGTTGTATTAGCAATGCGACTTCGTTCCGGACACATTCCGTGCAACAAGCTTGCTTTCATGATGCAAATGAAACAATCTTCCAATTGCGAAACATGCAACATAATCGATGATATACACAACACTTGCTCGCGGAATGTTCCAAAAACCATCACGAGAGGAAACTATTGGCTACTAAAACTACCATTAAAATGTATAACATAAGTGATTATCAAAGCATTCTCTCTGAACCACTGTCAAGTGCTGCTCAAATGGTCTATCCTTTAGTTAGTATATTGTATAAGTAATTAAATAAATTGTTTTGTGTTATTTAGATGTAAGGTACAATGGCACCGACATGTTAAAAATAAGACTCTTAATTAAAAAATAATTAAAAAAGGTATTGTATTTTTTTTATAGGGGCTTTCATACTATACTAGCAAACAGTTGTGCAGCATATCCTCGTACTGTAAAAAAGATCAAAAGTTCACACATGTTGAAATGGCCATATTATTTTATTTTAGTTATTTCCATAGCATAATGTCGTATGTAATCTTATTACGTAAAAGAAATTTAGCATAATTTGGGATCTCTTCTATCGTTGTAGATAATTTTTGAAAAAAAAATTCATAATTATAAATATTTATTTACAAATATTACATATAAAAATTAAAAAACTAAATAACCAAACCCCATTCCGAACCTTATCAAGGCTTTCAAAGTGTTTTCTTATTAACAACTTTTCTTCCATGTACAAGATAATTTAACTGCCATTGCAAGAAGTAAAGAAATATTTTTAACAATAATAAAATGGCTAAAATTATAGGGAAATAAATATTACCAAACGTTTTCGTAAGAATAGGATAGATCCAAATGCCTCGCTCTATGTATGTGTATGCTAACCTGAAAAAAATAAAAATTCGTCATTTGTCATCATCACTATCAATACGTTAATAGCTAAAACCGAACTTGATGGATAGATATGACCATATACTATGTCCCGCTGGATCTTTTGCTAGTCTTTCCCAGGACAGAGTATTTTTTTGGACTATGTGTTAACTTTACGCCACAAAACACGTTACTGAGTCATGGATGCAGGATCCATCGACTTCCTGCATGTCTTACCAAGTTGTCACTATCTAATGCCACTCGAGAACATGTTGTTCAAGCTGTATGGCCGGCCCATTGCTAGTTTCATATCCGTTTGTATATGTCGATTACTCTGGTTCTGCTGCGGATATTTTTATTGGAAGTTTTATCGCGCAGAGAAGACACAATACTATATATTTTACATATAGAAAAAGAGTGGAGTCATTTTCCAGCTACAATGGTAAATAGGCTTTTTTCTCGTATACTCAGTACACTCAACCATTTTCGGCTAGATCAACAGTTATTATCTTGTGGGACAGTAGTCTAGCACTGGCTTACAATAGGTAAAAAGACAAGTAGTATTATACGCTACTGGTGGGACGAAAGGGTGATTCAGTTTTGTTCGCCACCGTTATAAGATGGACACTCTGTAAAATACAAATATCCTGGGTTTCATACAGTCTATACTTACACTAGAAAGTATAAGGAAATGTGAAACAACACATGCAAGATATTCCTCAAATGTGACTTCGGCTCGGCCCTCGGCCGAAACACAACTTCCCATAAAACAACTGGAACTATAGCTGTATGTATAACATGGTTTGCTGTCTTGTTCAGCACTTTATCGATAAATTTTGGAAAAATTAAATCTCTATCATAGAGAAATAGGCACCAAAATACTGTAAACACCAACTGAAATAAAAATGAATGAAATGAAATTAATTATTTCCAAACAATTTTCTAAATACACGAGTATAAAACACGAAATCAAACATTTATTAATAAGCTCAACACATCCAGTTTATTTATAAGTCTTAAGTTTAAACTTGATAAAAATGCAGATGCATTGTCAGACCTTAAGACTAAGATATTCTATCTCCCTGTTTTCAGTAAAAAGACTCTTTGGTTTTCGTCAAAAATACGCTACTATTTCACGCTGGTATTCAGTACAAGTGTGTGTGTGTGTAGCCCTTACGTATTCGAGCTTTTTTTGCCTAGAAGTAAAACAGCAGTTCCAAAACCTGGTGAATTTTCGTAACAACTTTAGAATTCGTGCTGCAGCTTGTTATGGCTATAGAATTGTGTAATCTATCCGTCGGCCCCACCGTCTTGATACTTACCACCCTTTAAGTTATTTCTGCCGCCGAGCAGCAATACAAGCACTGCTGTGTTCCGGTGTGCAGTGTAAAGACAGACAGCTTTTTCGCTCTTAATCCTCCCTTGAGGAGAATGAAAGGGTCGTCCCGGTTGCTAATAATGATGGTCTTCCCCTACACATTAGCAATATAGAATATAGGCGCACGGCCAATCGTCTTCAACGAGAAGTCCGTTTCGCCTCTCTGAACTTCGAGACCTTGAAAATAGTAAGCTCATGGAGAATATATCTCTCTCTCTCTCTCATACAGCGTACTATCAGATGGCAAGAGCCATCCGCATAGACGCTATCACCCACACTCCCCCTCTCTCCCGTCCCGATGGTACGGTTGCCTTCGAGGACGAGAAAAAGGCTGAGTGCTTTGCAGACAGCATTGCCGCACAATGTTCTCCTAGCTCTTAAGCAACCGATCCCTGCCACATCCAGACAGTGAAGGATGAGGTCCGCCGTCGGAACTCACCCCCCCACAGCCTCTGACCCTATCACTGTGTCCAATGATGAGATCTCATCCCTCATCAAAGGACTTAAACAAAAAGGTTCCGGGCGCGGATGGCATCTCCAACCAAGCCCTTTAACACTTTCCTGAGCAGGTGTTAACCCTTTTAGCTATTATCTTCAACGTCTGCTTCAATCTTAGTTACTTTCGCACTACGTGGAAAGAGAAAACTGTCATTGGTATTCCCAAGCCAGGAAAGCCTCTCAACCTCCCCTCCAGTCATCGTCCCATCAGCCTCCTCAAGACCATGGGCAAACTCTTCGAAAGAGTCATGCTCACTCGCATGTGGCTCCATCTGTTTCCTACAGACGGTGACCCTTTTGTCATCCCCCACCAATTTGGTTTCCGAGCGAAACATTCTTGTCCCCAACAAGTTCACTGTATTGTGGAATATATCCTCAGCGGTTTTTATCCTCATCGTCATAAGACCATCGCGGTCTTTTTCGACATTGCAAAAGCTTTTGATAGAGTCTGGCACGAAGGCCTTATCTACAAACTATATAAAATAAGTCTCCCTGATCGTCTTGTACATCTCGTGGCCTCTTACCTGAAGGATCGTACCTTTCGTTTTAGACACGAAGGCACACTGTTCTCTCAGCGCCCCATCAAAGCTGGTGTCCCTCAGGGCTCAGTACTTGATCCTCTCCTGTATATCCTGTTCACTAACGACATTCCCATGCCGTCGAAAGGTGTTCAGCTCTCCCTCTTCGCAGACGACACTGCCTTCCATTGTAAAGGTATCTCGCTACCTTTCATACGGTACAAGATCCAAAAGTCATGCTTCCAGCTCCATTAATTCTTTTGTTTTATTAGACACTGACATTGGTGAAGTTAGTAGTTTAATTCTAAATCTTAAAGATAATTGTGCAGCTGGTTGGGATAATATTTCAAACATATTTCTAAAAAAATTCAGAAATTACTTAGTCCCGCCTCTTACATCTATTTTTAATCTTTGTTTACACGTTGGGGTCTTTCCTAATGATTTAAAAAGTCTATAGCTATTCCGATTCATAAAGGTGATGATGAAGATCTTATCACAAATTATAGGCCTATATCATTACTTCCTGCTATATCTAAGATCTTGGAAAAACTCATTAATATCAGATTGGTGAGCTATTTGGAAGATCGTAAGTTACTTTCTGATAACCAATTTGGTTTTCGTCGCAAAGTCTACTTCAGATGCAGTTCATGCAGTGACTAACTTTATTGCTACGAATTTAGATAAACATAATAAATGTTTAGCCATATTTCTAGACATTGCAAAGGCGTTTGATACAGTATCGATTCCTATTCTACTAAATAAGCTTGAGTCTATAGGCATAAGAGATAATCAGTTGAATCTTTTAAGAGATACCTTGCAAATCTTGCTCAAGCTACAGCAGTTGGAGAATATATATACGAGGGGCGGCACTGAAAATTTCGGGAATCAAGGAAGTGACAGAACATTACTATTTAAAAATATATTTATTGCTTTTCGAAGCATTCTCCGCGAAATTTGACACACTTTTCCATACGATGGAACCAATCATTGAAGCAACCATTCCATTCGGAAGTTGGGGTCTCCAAAATGGCCGTTTTGTAGGCGTCCACAGCTTCTTCGGGTGCTGAAAATCTCTGTCCACGCAATTTATTCTTTATTTTAGGGAAAGTATAGAAGTCATTAGGGCTTAGGTCGGGGCTGTACGGCGGATGGTCTAATACTTCTATGTTTTCTTGCTCTAAAAACTATTTTGTTCTGTGTGCGGTGTGAGAACTCGCATTGTCGTGATGGAGGATGATGCGGCTGTTGCAGTTCTCTTTACGGAGTCCAGAAACGACCTGTGGCAAACAAATGCTAGCATATTATTCTGCATTAACCGTTCTTTGTCCCTCAAGAGGAATAGTCGTAACATGGCCGGTTTGGGAGACAAACGTGGCCACCATTTTTTTTGCAACACTCCGTGAACGAACAATTTTTGTTGGCTTTAACTCATTTTCGAACACCCAAACTCGTGACTGGTTTTTTGTTTCGGGTTCGTACGCATATATCAGCAAACAAGCGATAAATTGTGGTTTTGGATGGGGCTTCATCACCAAATGCAGAAATCATCCGGTCAACACACTGTTTTTGTGTTAAACCACTTCGAATGTCATAATAAATAATCGCTCTTGAATTTTCTCGAGTCAATTCCATTTTTTCAACGACTAAACAAGTTTGACAAAACCTTGTGACAAGACCGAGAATCTTTTTTTAAATAAATAAATGGTATTCGATTTTTAAAACCAAGGATTTTTCAATTAAAAAGATTTTAATATGACAGGAACAGTAGAAATATTCCATTCCCGATACTTTTAGTACAGCCTATGTATTAGCACATATGCATCTACATCTTCTGGAGTTCCACAGGGCAGTGTTCTTGGACCAACTCTATTCCTGATTTATATTAATCAACTAAGTTCATTTAAACCTTTAAATGGTAATCTGATCTCCTATGCTGATGACACAGTTCTATTAATTTCAGCCATTTCCTGGTAGAAAGTTTTTGATGCTTTTGATAGTGTCTCTGGATGGATGGGTAACAATCTTTTGACACTAAATCCTAATAAAACCAAATAATTCCTTTTTCTATTCGGAAATTGAAGGAACTTAGAGATAAATTGTATCTTGTGGCTCATAGTTGCAATTTTGTAGACAAACATAAATGCTCCTGTCCTAAATTAGAGCGTGCTAATGAAATAAAATACTTGGGGGTAATGTTAGATTATCACTTAAATTTTAAAACGCATTTTGAATTACTGAGCAAAAGAGTGCGGAAATCGATAATAATATTTAAAACACTTAGACCAATTGCAGATTATAAACTTATAAAACAAATTTACTTTGCCTTCTGCCAATCGCTGATATCGTACTGCATTACTTCTTGGGGAGGAGCGCCAGCTTCTACTATTAAGTGCTTAGAAATTGCCCAGCGTGCAGTACTCAAAGTAATCACTTTTCGACCTTTCTTATTCCCAACCAAACTCCTCTTTGAAAATTGTGAAGTCCTTACCGTCAGACAACTGTTTATTTTAAGTATAATCTTGAAACAACACAGTGAAGTGATGTTTGATCCTCAAAAATGTATAAACTGCGGAATAGTCAGACCTTGTGAACTAAAACAGTTTCATACCTCATTTTTTCGGAGATTTTACTGTTCTTTGGGTCCTTTTGTGTATAACAAAGTTAATAAAATTATTCCATCTTACTCCCTACATATAAAGCAATGCAAAAATAAAATAACAGCTTGGTTACTGATGATGAGGATGATGAAACGGAAGATCTTTTGACAGTGCAGCGCTAAGTTTTTATGGACTGTGCTGGATTTTTATTGTTAGGTAACTTAAGGTATTCATTAAACTGTATACGAGTATTCTTCACCTCGTACATATCCTCTGACACGCGCACACACACACATACACACACACACGAACACACGCGCACGCGCGCGCGTACACACACAAACACACGCCCACACACAAACGCACGCACTCTTACAATACAATACAATAAAAACACTCACGCCTGTCACCCAGAGGGGTAGGCAGAGACTACGGACTTCCATTTGGCGCAATCCTGACACACCTCTCTCGCCTCCTTTACATCCATATATTTACGCATACACGCTCGTCGGTTAAGGGTACTCCTAATCTGGCCCATTTTCAATGTATCGCCGATTTGGTCGATAAATCTTCGTCTAGGGCGTCCCTTCCCGACATTGCCGTTCACTTCTCAAACATAAATTTGCTTTGTTACTCTTTCCTCGTTTATTTTTTCTACGTGACCAAACCACCGAAGCATTCCTTTTTTAATCCTAATCACAACGTCATCTTGCAAACCACGCTTTTATCTCATCACACTATTTCTCACCTTGTCATTCAGATTCAGCCCTAGCATACTCCTTAATGACCGCATTTCTACAGCCTTTATTCTACTCTCATGCTTCTTCTGCCATACCCAACTTTCACTACGATACATTAAAGTACGGACTAGCACAGCATTATGAATTGCCATACATGACTTCTTTGACACATTCTGACTCCTCATAATAGCGTGTAGAGACCCATTTACTCTATTTCCTGCGTTCACTCGTCGTTGTATATCCTTATCATATCTACTACCCCTGCTAAATAAACATCCCAAATATACAAACTCATCCACTTGCTCAATCAACTCGCCTTCTATTCTTATTTCACATAACTTTTTACTTTCTTCTCTTTCAAAAACCATCACTTTCGTCTTACTTGAGTTCATTTTCATACCCCTTTCTTTTAATGACCAATTCATTAAAGTAACCATCATTTGCAACTCGGCCGCCGACGATGGAAATATGACTTGATCATCGGCGTACAAAAGGCATTTGACGGTTAACTCACCCATTCTCAACCCACATTTTGCAACTTTCAAAGTTTGAAAACAACTGTCCATAAATAGGTTAAACAGCCACGGAGAAGCTACACAGCCCTGTCTGACACCTTTTTGAATGCCAAACCAGTCCGAGTAGGCCCCGTCGATCCTGACACAAGCACTAGAGTGCCTAAAAAGAGACTTTAATGCCTGTATCAGACCAGCGCTCAACCCAAATGAGGTCAGTGTTTGCCATAACACATTCCTGTCCACTCTGTCATAAGCCTTTTCCAAGTCCATTAACGCATAAAAAACTTTCTGGTTTTTGGCCAAAACCTTCTCCGCAATCATGCGCATGGAAAAGATTTGATCCGTACACCCCATCCCCTTTCTAAATCCAGCTTGCACATCTCAAATTTTTCCATCAGTTTCTTCCATAACTCTTTCAATTAACACCTTAGCATACAGTTTACCCACAATGCTAAGCAAGCTGATACCACGGAAATTTTTACAGTCCTGCTGCGCCCCCTTTCCCTTATATATTGGGACTATATCGGCTTGGCACCAGTCTTCGGGTACCCGTTTCAGTTCCCAACATAAATTAAATAAGGTGTACAGCAGGCATGCAACCACACCCTCTCCAACCCTTAGCATTTCGAGTGATACTCTATCTTATCCGGCTGCCTTACTTGCTTTCATGCTTTTCATTGCTTTCATTATTTCATCTATACTTATCTCCCTACCTTTCTCCACTTCTTCCTGAATTTCTATTTCACTTATTTCAGACGACTCTTCACTCTTAAACACGCTTTCAAAGTATTCCTTCCATCTCTTTAAATTCGAAACTTCATCATTCAGCATGCAGCCATTCTCGTCTCGTATAGCATTCATTCTAGGCTGTTTTGAATTTCCCCTGGCAGTTCTTACGAGCTTCCAGAACATTTTAATATTTGCCTGGAAGTTATCAGATATTCTTCTATCATTCTTATCTATCCTTTCTTGCTTTTTCCTTTCAACAACTTCTTTTACTCTCTTATTTATACGTCTAAAGTCTGCCTTTTTTCTTTCAATCTCATCATTCATACCGCCAGAATTACCAGCTTTAGTTGCTAGTAAATCTAGCCATGCTCTCTTCTTTGTTTCAACTTCCATCCGTACCTCATCATCCCACCACAACGTATTACTTTTCCTTTCATTCGTTCTCTTACTTACACCACATACTTCGGTGGCTGTATCAACCAAAACTTTCTTAACTTTATTCCATACATTCTTCAAGTCTAAATCATTCATAGATAATTCATTCAACCCACTTATATTTTCCCTCAGTCTGCATTTATACTTCTCTTTCACACGTTTATCTTGTAACCTCTGTATTCTTATACGCTGTAACGCAGTGGTAGACACAGATGTCTGATGCCGCCAACACTTGAATAGACCATTAATTCGGCATAAGACCAAGTAATCATCCGTCACTACGATGGACCCACGGTAAACCCTTGTATCTACCGCTGCGCTCCTCATTCTTTCATCCACAGTTATGAAATCTATCATGCTTCTATCATCCCCTCTTTCCCAAGTATACATGTGAATCCTCTTATGGCGAAAGAAAGTGTTTACCACAAAAAGATTCTTTTCCACACATATGGTGAGGAGGTCGTCACCATTCTCATTTATTCTTTCGTCGCCAAACGCTCCTAATATCCTTTCATAACCAGACTTCTTCACCCCAACCCTTTCATTAAAATCTCCTAACATAATAATATTTTCATTTTCCTTACATTTCGTCAACACCAGCCTTACCATGTCCCAAAACTACTCTCGGATATAAGTGGGCTTAGACATATCTGGGGCGTACACCCCAAGCACGAACACTTTCTTTAAGCCCATTTTCATTCGTATCCACAGCAGCCTTGGGCTTACACATTCATACTCTTTCACACATTGACCCATTCTTTCTGAAAAGATGACACCGACTCCCTGGCATGCCCGCTCGGTCTCGTCTACACCAGACCAGTAAGCGGTTTATATGCCATGTGCAGTGACATCTCTTCCCTTTCGTATCGTCTCATTCACACATAACACATCTATTCGTCTATCATTCATCATTTCGCATATTTCATCCATCTTATCAGTGATTGCTCCACATACATTCAGCGTAGCCAGACGGGCCTCCGCAATCCACTTTTCGCCCCTCCGGGAGACAGGACGTGACTGATGGCGAACCTCGTCGCCGGTTTTCCTCCCGGAGATTCTTCGCACCCCTGCTCCATTAAAGGGGCGCCGGCAACTCGGGGCCATTTCTTTTAATTGTTGGCTCATGGTGCGACATAAGGGGTGGTAGATTATACGCCGCTACCATACGGCGAGGAGCCGAGTCTATCGTTTCGGCTTTGTCGCTCGTTTAGCACCACCCGGGGGACACGTGTAGGGTGGGCCTATGGTTAGGTGGTCGAAGCCTACGGACGCGATAGCACTATATACAAAAGAGGTACATTTTACATATATTTTTTTATTTCTCTTTTTTTATATACAACATCTGTAATGTAAAGAACTAAGTTTTCTAAAGTTTCTATAATTTAAATAAATAATTTATGTGTATTATGTCTGGGGAGTGGCGCCATATGCTGAAATACAGGTTATAAAATTAAATATTCCTTTGTACATATATATATATATATGGAAAATAAAGATTATTGTTATTATTATTAAAATGACCTAGGAGCTTTGTTCCAAAAATGGCTCATCGATGTGAACCCGGAGAATAGCTCCGCCGTTCACTTCGATTATAAACGATGCCGCCTCAAAAACACTCCACCAATATGTATGCTAGGGATCCCTGTCCCCTGGCATACGTCTGCCAAATATTTAGGTGTCACCCTTGACACGAGGCTCACCTTCGGGCTCCATGTCAAAAGAGTAACCGGCAACGCACGTGTTTATCTGAGTAGGCTCAACAGTATGCTGGGCCGACACAGTAAAATATCCTTCCGAAACAAGCGGACCCTTTATAAGGTCTGTATATGACCAGTCATGTCTTACGCGGGCTTTATATTTGCTCACGCTGACCCCAAAATCATAAATGAACTCCAAGTAGTTCAAAACCTCTTCTGTCGTCGAGCTATGAACGCACCTTGGTACGTCCATAACGCCGACCTCCATCGGGACTTAGAGCTCCCTACAATCCAACAATTTCTAAAAACACTCCCTGAGAATTTCTTCAAAGCCTCAGAATCTCACTCCAATCATTTCATTCGTGAGGCAGCTACTTATGTAGCCTCCCTCTCGCTATCGAGTCCGCAGACCGAGAAACTCTCTCTCGGACCCGCTAAACAAACTTTCAACCGACCTGAACTGCCTCCTGGCGGCTCAGGCCGATTCTTCTTAAATTTGCCTTAGTAGGCTCCTCCTCAGCGGCTCGTAGCCGCCTGCGCCCCTTTTCCCAAAAGAGGGTCGCTTCCGATTCGGCAGAAAGGCCTAATAAGCCAATGCCAGTCCCATAGACTGAATTATACTCTTTAAATAAAAATAAATGCAAAATTAAATTATTTGAATTTATTCATCAGTTAAACTATGAAGAAACTGAAGCATTACTTACTACAAGCTAATATTACTCACACACCCTCTTACACACACTCATGCATTAAACATATTATGCACAAAGAGATACATTTTAATACACACTTTAACAATTTTCTTTTTATATAAAATACATTTTGTTAAGATTAATTTTCACATTTTATTTTTTGTATACCATCTATTTAAATTATACTAATTTTATTTTGTTAATATGTAATAAGGAAGAGCACTGTGATCTGAAATACAGATATATATTTATCTAGTTCAGACACAGATGTTCCATCATTCTTTGTAAACTAAGTATAGACCATAGAATAGTTATTTATAAATGTCATAGTTATCTAAGTGGTGAAAATAAACTATTATTATTATTATTATTATAGGTGGTGTTTAGTGGGTACACTTAGGGTGTTTAGGTTAGTCACAGTGAGTCCCACATAACCACGACAGACCGGCTGTCGTGGCATGCGTAAAGCATTAACCACCTCCTCGCGTTAACGGGGTAGCCCTTTCTAATTGCTTCTGGGCACAAAAATAATCGCTCTTAGTCTGTAGCGTTTTTTACTTTAAGTTGGTTGTATGTGTCTATGGGCATGTCCATGCGGTTGCTACTTACTGTCAGATGGACTGTTCGATTGTCACTTCAAGCAAAACCTGAACCCACGTATATGACACGTAGCAAATTAAGACGTAAATTTCCAGTCCAACAATATAGGCATAGTAGAGAAATACATCTGTGATATAATCAAACAATGATAAATCTAATACATACCAACGTTGATGGCCAAAGCACTCCAGCGAATAATGTATCCCTGCAGCCTCTTAAATGTTTAGGTAATTTATAATCTTTTTTGCCAGAATTCAAGAGCGTTAATATGTCACATGTGAGCCCAATTATTGCATAGAAAATTTGAATAACCTGCAAAATATAAATATATAAACCAAGATGCGAAATCCATTGAGCCTGATCTCTCTCTCTTGTGTCGGATTACCGCCTCATTAAACTATGAGATAATGTCTGTGAGAGAATAGAGAGAGCCCCTTCGGTCTTGAAGATATTTAATATATGATTTGTTACTGCAAGCGTTACGGTAATCACAAATGCTTCATTTAGGATAAGCCCATGTCATCAAAAATCATGTCACGAAAATATTTAACGCACATAAAAAGATATAATGATATAGGGAATGAGCCAAAATCAGTCTAATATAGTCTAGACAACAAGTTCAAAAACGTGTTAATTCTTGTTCCCGCCCCTAAATACATATGCGATAGCTCATTCGATTTGGAATGACGTCTAGAAATATGTATTGTGTTATTAAAAAACTAATATGAAAAAAAAGATATTTAGTTTTTCGTTAATAAATCAAAAACTATTAATTAAAAGTTACAAATAATGGAGGTAGAATTCCGGTAGTCCAGATATTATATTGAAAATTTCCTCCTCTTTAAGGATCTTTTTTCAAAAGTTCTGAAATATTAATATTTCTTGAGTTATTAACGTACAACTAAATATCTTTTATATCTTATTTTTGTAATAACAATAGCAATTTTTTATGTGCTAATAAATCCTCGAGATACAATTTTCTAGACGTCATTCCGAATCTAATGAGCATATTTTTAAGAACAAGAACAAGAATTAACACTAACGCGTCTGTTGCTAATCAGCAAATCAGCTTAATGAGATTAAAAATAATTATACATACGATAACCGTAAAAAAAAAAGAAAATAATAATCGTCCGATTATGGTATGAATACTTAGACAATTCCAACGGCTGTTGCCAAAAATAATTATTCATACGATAATCGTATAGATAAAAAATACTTTTTATACGTGGTAGCTGCAGCTATATTAATAGTATAGTTGTGACACGAATGGGTTGGCTCGACCGGGGAAGGACCACGCTCTCACAGAATACCAGCGTAAAATAGCAGCTTAATGTTGCTGTGTTTCGTATGGTTAGTGTAGAGAACCGGAGACCCTTTTTACCGGAAAACAGGCATTCTATCTGCATTTTAATTCGCAAACGAAGATAGATGTAGATGTCTATGGGCCACAGCAACCACTTACCATCAGCTGGCTTGTGTGCTGGTTTGTCATCATTATTCTATAAAAAAAACTTATTCGTCCGATAATTTATAAAATTTAAAAGTACAATTTTTTGAATATTATACAGGTTGGCCCATAAGTCCCTTGAAATGTAAAAAAATAATTTAAAAAAAATTAATGACATTATGAAAAAGGTTTTTATTTTGTCATAATCCTTATAAAATGGGAATTATTTTTTGAAAATTACATCATCTAAATGTAATCCGTTACGATCGCGGCACTCCTGTAAGCGACGTTTAAAATTATCCATCACTGCGTGGCAAGTAAGCTCTATAATGTTTGCCATTTCTCTTTGGATATTTTCTTTCAGGACGTCAATTGTCCGCGGGTTGGTTCCATACACTTTAGTCTTAAGATAACCTCATAAGAAAAAGTCCATTGGGGTCAGATCTGGACTACGTGGTGGCCAAGGAATATCTCCTCTTCGAGAGATCACTTTATTAGGGAAAAGTTGACGGACGACCGGCATAGCGACGTTAGAGGTATGGGCAGTTGCTCCATCTTGTTGAAACCAGGTCCGCGTATTGAAGCCTGGAAAATTCTGCAACTCTGGTGTAAAAAAGTCCTGGATCATAGTTACATACCGTTGTGAAGTAACAGTAAGCGCGCGGCCTCTGCCGTCCTCAAAAAAGTAAGGGCCTATAATGCCATGCGCTGACATAGCCGCCCAAACTGTCACTTTAGGGCTATGTAAGGGCTTTTGATGTTTGCGATTTGGATTTTCGCAACTCCAGTAGCGACAATTTTGCTTATTGACATGGCCGTTGATGTGAAAGTGAGCCTCATCAGAGAATAACACGTTATTAAACGAAGTAAAGCGGTTCAACATTTCATTTGCGAAATTTAGTCTGTGGATAGTGTCAGTATCTTTTAATTCCTGTACTAACTGAATCTTGTACGGGTGAAGATGTAAATCTTTCTTTAAAATTCGCTGTAACGATGTTCTGGGTAAGTTTAATGCACTGGAACGCTTACGAGTAGACTGGGTAGGATTTTCACGAATTGAGTGTTTCACTACATCGATGTTTTCTTCCGTCCGTGATGTCCTTGGTCGACCTGACCGTTGTTTATCCAACGTCGAACCACTCTCTTCGAACTTAATAACCCAGTTCTTAATCGTTTGAACACTTGGAATGTCTTTAAAGTTGCGTAAATTCTGATATTCTCGAAATTTACGCCGCACAATGGTAGCCGAATCATTGTTTCGATAAAACTCGCGCACACAAAATGCACGGTCCGCACCGGTGAAACGCTCCATGGCGACCACAGAGTACTTTTATATATACTGAAAATGGCGACTGAATTCCCAGAAACCGTCGGTACTCGCCCCGCACTGCGCGCGCCACTCATGCGCGCCTTTTGTATTTTATTCGAAATTTACATTTCTAACGACTTATGGGCCACCTGGTATTATAAATCACTATAATGTACGCGACCTCAGGTGTAATGTTTCATTAGACACAAAACGCCTAATAAAATGTAAGTATCAGAGTATATTTATTTATTTATTTAATCTTTATTGTGTTACACCTTAATCTAAGCATTACAATGGGCGGACTTAATGCCTTATGGCATTCTCTACCAGTCAACCTTGAGAGAATTAAACAAGTAAAAGTAAACATATATACAATTGTCTAAAATTATTAAAATATTTATTATTACATTTATATTTTTAAGTTTACAATATTAAAAATATATCGGACGAATAGAAATAAATAAATCTTACGATAATCATATAAATAAGACAAAAATAATCCTGCGATTCGAAAATGTTTTGTACAATATGGTTAAATTTTAAATTGAGAATTTTTAAATTTACTAAAATTGCCAGTTATACCTCCGTTATTAGACATCAGTAGACAAATGACCATGAAAATTAAAAAAAGGTACATACAACCGCAATATTTCCTACGTTATTAAATAGATAAAATCAGTCTAGCTTTTGTTGAGAAAACAAGAGAACACGAGATAGTAAAAGAGATTACTAGTAGAAATGACGGCTCCGTGGCGTAGTGGCTTAGCAATGAGTTGCAACGTTTGGGACCGCGGGTTTGAATCCCGCACGGAACAAGTATTTGTATGGCCTACAAAATATTGTTCCGGGTCTGGATGTTTGTCCTTGTGCAATATATGTTTGTAAACTGCCTCCACGATACAGGAGAAAATCCTAGTGTGGGGGTAACGTTTTTTAAGAAAAGAAATAAAATAAAATAAATTATAATCAGTCCGAGTTACAGTTGTCTCCCTTGCCGTCTACGCGAGGAGGTTTGAGGCACAGTGCGGCAGTAAAAGATTTGTTAAAAAACGATTCCTCAACTATCTTTCTTTTTAACTAGACCATTCAGCAGTACATACGGCGTAGAGACGTACCAGACGTCACGCACCTTCGATGCTGCTTCCAGTCACTTACGTCTGGCGTAAAAGAGATGGTTGCCGATATAACCATCTCTTTTACGGATGTAAATGACAGAATATTCTTTATCGGAGTTTTCTGCCATTTCCCTCGGTTGCATTGGAGGAATTCATTCTCATTCATTTCAGGGGTAATGCATTTTCTGACACCGCCGCCTCACTGCGTAAAATATTTTCACTTATACTTACAAACGTCCAACAAGTAAAATATCGTGACTGCAGATTGGTGAAGATTTTCAAATTTGGGTCGTCAAAATGTTCCTTTTTTAGTCCTTTTATCATAAAATATATGTTTGTTACGTGCATTACTATCGTAGCTGTGTAACCAAATATGCGATAATATATATAATTATTCATTGTACTGGAATAAAAAAGTTGTTGCATTTTAATTAAATTATTAAAAATTAAAGTTTTATCTTATCTAAAGCTACGATGATTTAAATTTAGATTAACTCTTCATTTATGACTCTGTACTTATTATTTTAATACGAGCCGTTTTTTTTTCCAATTTGGACAACTTCTTACAAAAAAAAATACAAATCCCATGCGGCAGTCCAAACGTTCTTCAAAGAGTTTATTGATTCTCGCCCCCATGGGTTTTTTTACTAAAGGGATCAATGAACTACCTATGAGATGGCAAAAGTGCATAGATAACAACGGTGCATACTTTGATTAATAAAATATATTTTACAAAAAAAAATTGACTTTTTATTCCTCCCGTACAAAACGCCAATTTCATATGTAAGGACATTACACAGAATAAAAAGGCAACGGCATCGTCCCAGTGCTGCTAAGCTCAGACCTCGCACTCCATTTGACTTATTTTTTTATAAAAGTAGTGACATACAACTTACAGTCTACTTGATAACTGGCTGCTGCAGGCCATTGATTCCTGTAACCAATTTCAAACAAACAAGGCCACAGATGCTCTGAGGACTAAGATGGAATGCCTCACAGCCTGTTATTGTACTGGCTTTCTATACCCATCAGACAGCAACACAGCAGTACAAGCACTGCTAGTTGGAGGTAGAAATAAGTAAGAGGATGTTACCTACCCAGACCTACTTGTAACCAGAAAATAAATCCTATACCACCTATAAAACGCGCTAACGTTCAACGGATCTGCATACATGCAAGCGAGAGCGATAATATCGTCAAACGTTCGTTCAGTTTCCCCAAGCATAAAATAGTAATTAAGCTTCAAACCGAAATTACTGGCTTGAATCAAAGAAGAAGATTTTATGCGAACTTGTAAACAAATCTAAGAAATTGTGCGAGAAATTTCATACACTCTATAACTAGTAAACTGAAGAAAAATACCTGCAGAAAGCTACATTATAAGTGAGTAATATAGGTTGTATTTTTTTTATTCCCTTTTTGAATTTCTCCCTTAAAAACGACCCAATAAATAATACACCCAAAATCACACGTGACCTCAGAAAGAATAATTCCGAAAAATTAAATCTGTACGTAAAATCGATAATACCTACGTGTATCAAACCACCGAAGTTGTATGGGTTAACTAAAATACACAAGCCCAATGCTTTGAGCCAAATTGATTCACCAACTTACAGATTGGCTCAACACTTAGCGAAAATATTCTCACCACTCAGAGGACATTTTTTATAGGATAGGGTGACAAACGAGCACAGAGTCTACCTGATGGTAAGTGTTCCTGTTACCCATACACATACATAGATCCGGATAGATTTACATCTATTCTCACTAAAGAAACAAAATGCAAATGCGTTGTCACCCGTGAGGACTAAGATGAAATGCCTCTTTTCCAAGCAAAAGGGCTTACGGTTCTCTACACTCACCATACGAAACACAGCAGTGTTAAGCTGCTATTTTATGCTGGTATTCTTGAGCGTGGTGTGATTCAAGAGCGTGGTCCTTTCCCGGTCGAGCCGACCCATTCGTGCTACAACTATACTACGAATATAGCTGCAGCATGGCTCTACCACGTATTAAAAGAGCATACAAAAGCGCACACAAAGGATTCCTACCATTTTGTCAGCGAGATTAAAAACCAACATCTGGCAAACAATGAAACTATGGTCAGTTTTAATGTGCAGTCACTGTTCACATGCTTATATGTTGAAGACTGCATGCCAATTGTAACTAGAAGGCTTGAAGTAAACAACATGGCCATAGAATATGCAGTATTACTCAGACACTGCCTTACATCTGGCTACTTATTTTGGAAGAAAGAGTTCTACAAGAAAGTAGATGATGTGGCGATGGGTCACCTGTATCTCCCATTGTCGCTGATATATTCATGGAAGACTTTGAGGAGAAAGCCTTGCTTATTTCTCCAGTAAATCCAAGATTCCACAAGGTGGTAAATAGACGACAACTTCGCAATTCTACCTTTAGATAAAGTAACTGCATTTTTAGACCATCTTAACTTCATGAATTCTGAAATTCAGTTCACAATGGAGTCAGAGGCAAATAATTTTATAGCTTTTTAGATGTGTTAGGAATTTGGAATCCTGATAACACCTTGAGCCACACTTTGTATAGAAAAAGACCCATACAGATATATATTTAGCGGTGACTCTCACCAACATCCCGCAGTTAGCTACCGTGGGTACTGCTACTGTGACAGTAAACACACGGCCACCGAGCCGCAACATGTCAAGAAAGTTTTGCACGATAACAAACTTCGAGACCCGCACCTATATCACATTGAACGAATGAAGCCGGCCACAGTCCACCGTGTGCCTGATGTACTGCCATATGTCACCTCTGACAAGATTGGCTAAATCTTGAAGCGTGCGTCCATTAAAAGTTACTTCGAGCCTCCGAAGAAGATTAGTCTTTTTTCTACCATCAGTCATGAGTAATGTCCCTCTACAAGATGCAGGAGTGTACAAGCTTGATTGTGAATGAGGTCTCTCTTACATACGACAAACTAAAAGATCAATAAAAGCCCGCGTTTAAAGAATACAATGCTGTTGTGAAGAATCAAAACTGCGGGAAGTCTGCAGTACGTGAAAACATACTGGATCACTCCCGCCTCTACATTAAATTCAATATATCACAAATCCTCGCAAAGAACACCAATTCCTTCCAAGGATGATTAGCGAGGCTAGTGAAATCAAAAAACATCCTCATTTCAATTGAGAAGAGGGATGGAGCTACCATCTGCATGGGATACTAAAATTAATAAAATTAAATCTCAACCCATACAACTGCAAGAATTCAAGATAAGTTCATACTGCGTAGATCACAAGAATAATTAATAAATTTATCTGGGGGGTACCCGTGATTAACCATGACATTGTTACGTCAAACACCTGAGTCCTCCCGTGACCAGGGGTGCTGTAAAGTGCTCTAAACGTGGGAAATATGAGGTATAGCCATATATCGAGAGTAGAGCACTCCCTCACGTTGTGAGGCGTGAAAACGGGGCACTCCATCTTAGTCCTTACGGATGACAACGCATACGCATCATGATTCGTAATCGATGGTAGATATAGATGTATGTGAGCCACAGTAATCACTTATTATCAGGTGGACTGTGGGCTCGTTTGTCACCCTTATCCTATTAATAAAATTATTAATATAAATACATAAGCAGAACAAATCAATAAATCTTTTTTCTTATTAATTCATTACAGCCTGCTAAAAGTCCAATGCTGAACTTAGTGACTACCTCATGAATTTCTTAAGAATATCCCCCATATTTGTCTAGCTATCACGTTTAACAGGTGGGATTGTAATCGAAGTTTTAATTATTTTGAGCTATTATCAGAAAAAGGCTGCTTCCCATTAATTACATAAAAAAGTAATATAATATATTTAAAAAAAATTTAATAGCTGTTATGTTTGAAGTGAATAGAAAAATATATAAGAGAAAGAATTCCCCCACTTAACATCCTAACATACTTGACAAGATTTGTACTTCCATAAAGCAAAGTCAAGCACTGGCTTATAATAGTTAAAAAAGACGTCTCAGATCCACATATGTAACATAGATGTTACAAACATGATTTTTGTCTTGTCCATATTCATTTTAAGACTTATTTCGTTGGGACACACCATTTAGGTAATTGAGCCAAGTAAGAAGTAAGACCTTCCAGCGATTCTGCCCATAGTGACTATATCATCGGCAAGTCGATGGTGAGTGATGTACTGGTAATGGATGTTAATATCGCTAAGCTTGAAAACATCTTCCAGTGCAGCGGTTATCGTTGTTTTGAGACATAACGTCTTCTTGGTCTTGACTTGACTTCTCTTCCGTTGGATAGGCTTCATACTCTAGCTCAATACTCGTCAGATAGTCATCATAGCGCTACTGTACAAACTCTTCAATATACCGACAGTTAACTTAGTACCACTGAAGGGACTGTAGCATTGCCCAAATTTCAACGGAATCAAAGGCTTACTTATTTTTCACATACACAAGTGGCAGATTCACCTCATAGAGAGACAGAGAGAGGCAGAGACACCTCAGCCTTTAATGCAATTTGTCGAAAGGTATGTTTGTGATCTATGGTAATAAAACCTTTTCGAAAACCGGCTTGTTAGGGAGGCTGGAATACATCGAGCCCACGTGAGAGACAGTTCATAATGACCCTCGAAAACAGCACGTTAATACGGCTCAGAACGGAAATCTTTGTATAGTTCTTCAATAGATCGCTGTCTTCTTTTTTGAAAATCAAGGCCAGCCAATTCTGCTCCGTGCCTCTGGATTAGTGTCACCATAGAGGATGTAATGGAAGTGCTTCTGAGGGACTATAAATACCTGTTTTCCACCCGCTTTCAAAAGCTCCGCTATATTTCTATTCTCACACAAGGCCATGCCGTTTTTAAGGTACTGAAGAGCGATTCTAATCTCGCCTAGACTTATATTATCGGAATAATATCGGATGAGACATGTTCATCGGTTGTCACACTCATTGGCATAAAGCTCCAATGACTATATGTGTAGCTGTCCGTAGAACCTCACATGCCTTGAAAATGACGTTGCCACAATCGGTCTTCAACTAGATAGTTGGCTCTTTCCGGCAAACAGATCTCTGTTGAAAATTTTGGAACTTCAGTTCTGCTCAACCGCTTTTTCAATACGAGATATATTGAAGCCAGGTAAGTCTTACCACATGAATTTGGAGATCTCCCTGTTCCTTTTTATTTATTTATTTATCAGTTCAAAAAAATACATACAGATATATGTCTAATTTACATCTAAAAACCACGGAGGTTTGACTTGATGCTAAATAATTAAGTTTAAGACAGCATATTATGTATAAAATACGGTCTAAGTAACTAATTAATTATGTGAATGGGTAGTATGTATAGTAAGAATATAAAAGCTAAGAAGGTAAGTTAACAACTTAGTTAAAGTCAGT